AATTTTTTTAAACTGAATTTATTGGGGTGACATTGGTTAATAAAATTATATAGTTTTCAAGTGTACAGTTCCATAGTACATTATCTTTATAATGCATTGTGTGTTCACCACCCAAAGTCTAGTCTCCTTCCGTCACTACATGTTTGACCCCCTTTACCCTTTTCTGCATCCTTCCATCCCCTCTCCCTCTGGTAACCACTAAACCGTTGTCTGTGTCTTTGAGTTTTTTTAATGTCTACTTTGGAGAATTATTATTAAGACCAGAGAAAATGCATACAAAGTGCTTTATGCAGTGCCTGGCAAACACTAGTTGCTTGGCAAATGACATCTATTGTTAATCATTTACTATGCTTTCCCCTCTGTTCTCATATTGGTGGCAGTGCGTTGATTGCCATGGAAGAGACTGTATCTTTCCGATTGACGTTTCCTTTATTTTTCTTTCTTTTTTAATTTGTGCTCCATCTTTGCTTCTTATTTTTAGGAAAACGTGAGTATAGAGGTATTTGCTCTTTTATGCAGTTTATTTGCCATGGTTCTTCAGTGCTTGGACAAAATGGCATGTGTGTGCAGCATGGGTCAGAACTTGTATTCTATTGTATATGAACAGAAAGAAACCCCAGAGAAGGGATTCATATGCATGGGAGAGAGTGTCACTGTGAAATAAAACTTAAGGGTTGGAATTATTGCTGTTTTACATCAGAATCTAGAACAAAAATGCTTTCTATAGGATGAGAATGCTTGTAGATACCAATTTCCTTAATTTTCTAACCTATCATTATCCCTATAGTAGTCATTAATAAACTTGGTAGAATTGAAATTTTTTGAAATAGTAATACAGCACTTCAAATCATGGAGGCATAGACTCTTAAGAGAATTAGGACATGAAAGATAATTTATTCCAGCTCAACTACATGCTTGATTGTCCTCTCTAGCTTCTTTGCCACAGAGCTGCTCAGCCTTTGTTTGAATGCTATTAATGATAGGGAAGGGCTTGTCTACTGACCATGGCTGTCATTTTGTCTACATTTAGAACAAAGTACTTCTTCACATGGAGTCTCTATAGGTCTCTCTGTTGCTTCCTCTCTCTCTTTCTCCCACCTCCCCCTCCCTCCTTCCCTCCTCCTTCCCCCAAAGCCAACCAACCAATGAAACAAACAAACAAACAAAGGAGTACCTGATCAAATAGTTGGAAAGCACTACATACATAGCTCATACCCAAGGAGTCACAATGCGTGTATGTGTATTTGCTGGAGAATGTTGCAGTGTGTTCTAACCCCCAATATTTCACAAACTTATTTGACTGTGAACCTTTACCTTTACGCAGAACATCTATCCACAACTCAGAACAGTACCTGGCATATAGTAGGTGCTCAATAATTGCTTGTTTAAAAAAGTTAATGAATACAAAATAAATCTTTAAAAGCTATAAAGGGCACCCGGTATCAAGATGACAAGTGTTCTCCCTGTCTGCAAGTGACACAACCAAAATTGAATGGGTATATCTCCCTCCTCTCTGAACCATCCTAAATATATTATTTATTTTCACACTTTTTAGGACTTTTAAAATTCTTCGTATTTGAAATCTGAGCCTTTACTCTCGTTTACACGACTACCTTTTTTTTATATTCTAAAAAAATTTACAATTGTTAGTCAAAGCAGTGAAAGCTTGTCTCTTTTGCTTCCTGATCAAATGTATGGTTGAATGAATTGGCAAGCACTTTTCTTGTCTTTTGTTTCCAGTTTGTGCCTGATTGTGTTTGATGGTACAAGCACACGGTCTTCAGCAGGGTTCTTAAGTAAAAAGCCACTGCATCTGGGTGTTTTTAAGAGTGTTTGTCACATTGCCTATTGAGTTAGTGCCACTTTTTTTTGGCTTCCTAACCAGCCCTTTTAGAGTGTAGCAACTAGTCCGAAGTAAGGAGAATGCATGCTTTTCATTTGCAAGTAATTGAGCTTTCCACCTGGGGACAGCTTGACAAGCCTCCTATCAGATGTGAATCTGGCCAACAAGGAACATGCTGTAATGTGGCCCCAGCATTGGTGATCTAGCCTTTTTATTTCTCATGCTCTGGAGTAAAAGAGTTCAGGTATATTTCTGTTCAGGATGGCGGAGTAGGAAAATGCTGTGCTCACCTCCTCCCACGACCACTTCAAAATTACGACTAAACTACAGAACAGCCATCATTGAGAATCACCTTAAGTCTAACTGAACAAAAGTCCTGTAAGTAAGGACATATGGAAGAAGCCACTTGGAGACTAAAACATATACTATATTGCATGAGATAAATTAAGTTTGAATAATTATATTTCTGCTTTACTTAACTTTTGTTGTTGTCTTTAGGTGTGGAACTGTTATATAGCTCTAATTCATAATGAAGATAGACTCTGTAATTTATTGTAATTACAAATGGGAAAGCAAGTGAAAATGTTGCCCAAATGAGCATACTAAGGAATTTCTAAATAAATGCATGCTGAAGTTTAAAAAGAAAATAAAAATAATATAAAATCCTGTAAAAAAAAGTTTAAAAGGTCAGCAAGAGGAACATTATAAATCATATTTGTTCTAGCTTTGGTATTTCAGTAGGAATTCTGTGCAGAAATTCAAGAGAGTCAGGTACAAAGCTGGGTAGAACTCAGCGTCAGCTTTCTCCAGTCAGTACTCATATCTCTTTGTTCTCAGCAACAATCTAACCTTGTCTTTTTTGTAGCTGCTCAGTGATAACCCTGTATCTTCTGTTTCCTCTCCTGTGTTATCTTCTCTCCCTTCAGTCTGTTTCCAACTCAGAATTTGATAATTTTTAAAGTAGTAACATCTTCTCTTTGAATCATTATTTCTTCTATTTTCATTGGTGTGGAAATGTTACTTTGTTGGCACAGTAGTGGGAGACGTTTTACAGTAGAAGCATCAGTATGTTTTTCTTATATCTGTGGATTTTACCTGTCAGATCTCATAGACTGTAAGGGGCCTCAGAAAGCACTTGTATGGCCCTCATTTCTTAGATGGGAGTGATGAGGTGAGGTATGGAGAGTGACTTGCTCAGGATCACAGAGCAACTTCTGGCTGGGCCAGCACCAGGCCCAGGTCCTCCCATTCCCAGTCATTGGCCTTTTATTTTATGATCTGATATCTCTCTTATTACATGAGTGGATTAAAAAATGTAGAGTAAGGGGACATTGTTTCTGTAGCTAGGCAGGAGCCTGAATGGTATTGGAGAAATCAAGTTGCAGATATTAGTACTTCTAGATCTGCCATCTGACACAAAATTCGTCAGTTTATTTTGATAGACATTTCTACTGGTCAATGCAGGGAAGAATTTGAGTTTTATTATATAGGAATATTTTAATGTCTAATGTTCTAATTTAAAAGGCAGAATACATTTGGGGCATTGCCGCTTTTGCAGGCTTTGAAGGGCAGGGAGAGTTCTAGTTCTCTGAATTATCCCCATTCTCATCCTTCCTTCATCTCCAAGTCTACAAATGTCAGAGTGTAACACATGTTTGTGGCTGTCATAAACTCATTCTTTATCTGAGGAAACATGTTAGCATTGAAAAAAATAAATGCATTGGGCAGCCTGGATATGAAGACACAGAGATGTGAGTGTGCATGCTTTGGCCTGGGCCATACTAAGAGCCTCCTTTGTAAAAGATTCTAAGACATAAAAATTGATTTTTATGTCTTGACAAATTACAGAGTTTTAATGGCATGGATCTTATGAAAATAAATTTTTGTCAATTTCTTTATGTTTCGAATTGGGAGATGAGGGCTGGGTTATTCTGTAACAGATGCCCTATTCCAGTGTCTAGTGTGGACCCATCGAGAACCTGTTTTTGTCATGCCCTTGAGCAGTGTTGGCCTGGATAAACCACATCCATGTGGTATGATTTGAAGAGCACTAAGGGTAATGTGTCATCAGTCTGACCTCACCAGAGACTAGCTCTTTGAAGGCCTTTTGTATCAGAGAGTAAGTGGAAAAATATGACTTCTATAAGAGATGTGGAACCACAGGCTTTAAAACCAGCAACCCAAAATAGCCTAGTTCGATGACCTGTTTTTTTTTCAAAAAAAGTTATCCTTGCTCATGGACCAGAGGCAAGTAGTGGATTTCGATTTCTGGCCCCTGTAGAGTTCACTAGAATTGAACATTACAAATCAGCACTTACGATCTGGGACAACTAAAACATATTGAACAATGCATGGACATTGCTCCACTTGTAATGATCAAAGGTGAGTTAATGTGCTACCATTTATTGCATACCTATTGTTATTCCAGGTATTTTACATTTAGTTGGTGCAGCACTCAGTGACGTAGATATTATTATGCCCAGTTTACAAGTAAGGAAACAGGCTCAGAGAGGCTAAGTAACTTGCGTTTGTTTGTACAGTCAGTAAAGGCAAGAAACTGGGATTGGGATCCAGGTCTGTCTGACTGAAAAACCACGTGCTTAACCACTACACTATACTCACTCTCCAACTCTTTTCCTTCTTCATAAGATGGGATAATAATACCTTCCTCAGGGTTATTTTAAAGATTCAATAAGATAAGCGATCTGAGAAGTGCTTTGTAATCGCTAATAAAGCTTTGCAGAATGAAAGGCATTATTGGAAGTAGAAGACAATCTGCTAGTGTCTCCATGGCTATCTATCGACCCTTTAAATAAATCCGGGTATCCTGGAGTTTAGACCTTTGCCCCTGGCTTTCTAGCAAGTCAGAGTAGTTTATGTTCTGGGCATAGATTCTGAGAACTAGGACACTGGTCCTACTTCTCTGGAGATATTTTCATCAGTGAGATTTCCTTGCCGTATAGCTGAGGAGTAAAGAAGAGATCAGCAATGTGTCTGTGGACACAGGCTGTGGGACCCCCAGGGTTCTTTTTAGCACAGCGCAAAATCATGTATATGGTTCTAGCTGTACTTTGCCATGTGCGTCATTTCTCTCCCTTTCTCATTTGTCATAGAATCCAAACTGCACCTCCGTGTAAAGGATATCAGTCATTTCTTAATGCAAGACATCGCCTTTTTGTCTGGTAAGTAGACTTTTACATATATTTAGACTAAGTAAATGAATAATCGATTAGTAAAGTTACTTTGGTCCTTATTATACAGTATATTTACAGATTTTGAGAAACAATATGTTAATAAACATTTATACATTGTACACATAGTTGCTAAAAAATGGACATTTAAACAATAATTGGAGATTTTAAATAAGTTTAGATATGTGATTAAAACCAATCTTACTACCCCTATGTATTTGACTTTCAGACAAGTCTTTAGAAATCTTAGGTGAGTGCTGGCTGGGTGGGAGGGTGACAGCTGAGGTGGCTTCTCTGAGAGTTTCTCCTCCACTATATTCTGATTACTTAAATATTCATTACAAATACTGTCAAGTCATTCACCTAATCAAGCAGCGCGTGCTAAGTTATTTTTTAAGGGGTTCATTTATACATGACAAAGTTTATTTTTCTAAAATGTGTATATGTATTTGTGCATGTATATGTAATTGTATCTCATTTTTAAAAAGTGTGATAAAATACGCATAACAAAATTTACCCTCTTTACCATTTTAAGTGTACACTTCAGTGGCACTAAATACATTCACATTGTTGTGCAACCATCACCACCATCCATCTCCAGACCTCTTCATCTTGCAAAATTGAAACCCCATTAAAAAATAACTTTTCATTCCCTCCTCCTCCAGCCCCTGGAAACCTCCATTCTATTTTCTGTCTCTATGAATTTTACTAGGTACCTCATATATGTGGAATCGTACAGTATTTTTCCTTTTGCGACTGGCTTATTTCACTTACCATATGTCTTCAGGGTCCACCCATGTTGTGGCATGTGCCAGGACTTTCTTTCTAAGGCTGAATAATCAACTGTATGTATATACCACATTTTGTTTGTCCATTCATCCATCGATGGATATTTGGGTTGCTTTGCTTCTGCCTTTTGGCTGCTGTGAATAATGCTGCTCAGCACCATTACATATTTTTAGAAATAAAACTATGGTAAACCACTCCTTTCCTTTTGACTAGGTCCGATATCTAGCGACTGTCGTTTAAATGCAAGCTAATTACTTTCATGTATTAGAGTAATTTGAACTGTACCATTAAACATTATATTCATTACATTAAACAGAAAAATTTACAAGTATATGCATTGTTTGTATGAAAATGAATGCTTCTCAGGTGTCAAGGATACAAGAAGCGATCTTATTCCTTTTAAGTAGTTTAATTATTTCTAAAATGATACTTACATGCTCAGTTTACTAAACAAGCATTTACTTATACATGATCCTAATTGGGCACTTCAATCTAGCCTCTGCTTTAATGATTATAATTAGTGATAATTGTGAATTAGCGGTCACTTAATGTGGTTTTATGTTTGATTTTATAAATGGTGTAAATGTATGACATCCTGTCACTCTTGAGTTTTGGGGATTTTACCTGTGTTCTGAATAGAACTGCCCTTAGGCCTTTTCCCCCCACCCAGACCCCTCTCCATAGTTCCTTCCTTATCTGCTTTTTGTAGTTGTTTCAAAATGTTTCTGCATATGTTTTTTTTTTTTTTTTGGAAGAAAGGGATCTCAATGGGAAAAATAATTAAAATTGTCCAATTTAGATTTTATCTCTTTTGTTCTTACAAGTTTCCTAGCTAATTCAGCACTTGTAGGTGCTCAGTGGTAATAACATGTTACTGATTAGTCAATGATAATTTACCCTTATAAGAACCATACCTTCTTTCCTTTGGTAGGTATAGTTTGCCTGAGTGCTAGATGGTTCTGTCCTTAAGTAGAGTACTTACAAGCTTACCTGGCAAGTCTATATCATATTCTGTATACAGCAGTCCCCAACCTTTTTGGCACCGGTGCTCCTATGAGAATCTAATGCCTGATGATCTGAGGTGGAGCTGAGGCAGTGATGCTAGCGCTGGGGAGCGGCTGCAAACACAGATGACACTTCACTTGCTCGTGCACCACCCACCTCGTGCTTTATGGACTGGTACTGGTCCATGGCCCAAGGGTTGGGGACCCCTGGTATATAAGATATATATTATATTATAATGTTATCTATTATTTTGCTAGTTCTATACTGTCCTACCTGTAGAGGCCATTTGTTTAATGATGCACCAGATCTCTTGGTTCAGAGTTGTGCAGTTTTTCCTTTTAACTCCTTTAAGACTCTTATTTGGATGTCATCATTCTCAATGATTATCTTCCTTAAAGATCCTGCTCTTTAAGTCTAGAATATTATATAGTGAAGATTTATCATTATTTGATTTAGTATTTTGGACTAGTTTGATTCAAAAGATATTTTGGGAATGGGGACTCTCCTTCTAGCTACTGTAGGTAAAGATTAAGGCAAATAATAAATCTGATTTTTTTTTCCAATTGCACTGGAGAACACTGTGTATACTGCTCTTACTGGATGGACTGTTCTATAAATGTCAATTAGGTCTTATTGGTTGAAATTTTTGTTCAGGGTTCTGAGATTGTTGTGCAGATTTCCTGTCTACTTGTTCTATCAATTATTAAGAGAAGAGTGGTGAAATTTCTGACTAAAATTGTGGATTTGTCTATTTCTCCTTACAGCCCTATCAGTTTGTGTTTCATGTATTTTGAAGCTCTGTTTTCAGGTACATAATCATTTAGGATTGTTATGTCTTCTTGGTGAATTTACCACTATTTGGTAATCTAATGATCTTAATATCTAGTACTATTCTTGACTTTGAAATCTACTTTGTTGAAAGTTAAACAACTTCTTTTTGACTAATATTAGCCTGGCATATCTGTTTTTATCCTTTTGTTTTTAATGTGTTTGTTTCTTTACATTTAAAATGTGTTTCTTATAGGCAGTACTGTATATAGTTAGGTCTTGAATTTTTTTTATCCAGTTTAATAATCTTTAACTTTTAATTGTAGTGTCAAGATTCCTCCTCCCCTTCCCTTTCCTTCTTTCCCTTCCTTTCCCTTCCCTTCCCTTCCCTTCCTTTTCCTTCCCACCACTCTGTCACTTTTTAAACTTAGTTAGGAGTATGGTACCAGTTGGTTTATGTGGAGATGTCATTCTTATAAAAGTAACATTGGCCAAAAATTATCTTCTGACTGCTCCTCAAATCAAAAATCCTCTCTCTTGCATTGCTGTCACACAAATTATTATTTCACTTGATTTTTATTATTTTAGGTGGCCGGGGAAAGGACAATGCTTGGATCATTACGTTTCCAGAAAATTGTAATTTCAGATGTATACCAGAAGACGTGATAGTAAAAGTGCTGACTTATTTGACATCTGTTGCAAGGTATAGCATTTCATAACTTTTTTTTTTAATTTATATCAGATACCAATTTAAATATAGAAACAGGAAAATGGCTTTTTAAAGTGACAGTTATTATTATTGTAAATGATCATAAGACTCACCTTCAGGTAAGAAATAGAAAGGGAAGATGTCAGCTACCTAAATTGTTATAAAAATTATGCTGAGGATCTATGAATACAAAATTGGGGATCTAAAAGCATTTGTCCCCATGAAGAAGAACGTAGATTGAAAATGATGATCATACATAAAGCCTTTAATTTGCATAAGAGGAAATCTTACTAGCCAAGAGGACAGCTATTCTTTATTTATTCCAAGGATAAAATAAGAAGACTGAATGTTAAATAGACTCAAAAGTGATATTAGAATATATCAGGAGATACTTCTTGATATTGGAGGTCATTTGAGACTTGAATGCTTTAAGAGGGAATGTTTCAAAAGTTTTCTTAAAGATTTTATTTAGGTCGAAGACAAATTATTTAAAGGAAACATTTTCCATTTACTAACCCCGAAGACCGTTGGGACAGAAATATAGGATGGCAAAATTGTAAAGCCTCGTGAACAAAGATCAAATCCCAGAAAACGAAATTTACAAGACATCCATTGAAGCTTGAAAGTGGTCTTTTGAGGACAAATAAAGTTTATATTATCCACTACACTACCTTCCCCAAAGGGGTAGTCAAGCGATAAAAACATATTTAATAGTGTTTTTATGAATGAGTGAATAAATGAATAAATGAACGTGGTCATTGGCTTATGATGGATTGCTATGGAAAGTTAAAACTGATATCATGAAAGACAGCTATCTATAAGGTTTACCCATAACCAAGATTGCAGTATTTCAAATCCATTTTAGTGACCTATCCATATTACAGTATCACTTACCTATCTAAGAGACTAATATTAATGCTGAAAAATAAATTTTAAATATTAAGTAGTAGAGTATGAAATAAGGTTGATTTTCCAAAGTAGCACTTTGTAATAGATTTCCAGTTCCCAGTCTGTCTTCAGTCAAGATATAAAATGTAAATGAAATAATCATAAGTAAGGATGTATCTAACAAATTTGGATTATTACTAAGAAATACATATTATCTTCTTTTATTTTAGGCAAAATGGATCTGACTCCCGGTTTACCATTATTCTTGATCGAAGATTGGATACATGGTCTTCTCTCAAAATCTCTCTCCAAAAAATTTCAGTAAGTACCAATGCATTCTTTAGTAACTTCTTTTTTTGTTTGTTTGTTTTACATTATACTTTATGTATGTGGGGGATATAGATTATTTTGATACTGATGGAGACAATAAAATAGATGGGATGGTGAGGTGGGAAAGTGGGAAGAAGATTTTTGTATAAGAGATTGGGCTAAACAGTTCAACCCAAATTAAAACCTAATGGGAAAGAATGAATAGTCAATGGTTCAAGTTATGAGTAGGAAGAGACTCATGGTTCCCTGCGCCTTTCAGAGAAAGGCAAGTTTTTATGGAAACTTTTTAAAAATGGAAATATCTGTGTTGTATACGCATTGTATATGGAAAAGTATAAGGAAAGTTTAAAACAATAGTCCATAATCCAACCATCCAGAAATAAACTTTTTTTTTTTTTTTAACATTTTAGTGTGTATCTTTCTAGACGTTTTTTCTCCCCAGGATAGAGTAGGGAAGTGAGTCACCTGCAAAATGACATATCTTTCCTAGTAGGATCTAATGTCCAGCTTTCCAAGACCCAGATAGAGAAAACACTTTCCCTAAAGGAAACATTATGAGAGATGCAGTCCTACCCACAGCCAAGATGATCTTTTACATTATTAGGCTCACCTGGATATAGTGGCATTGTCTGGCACTTCTCTTTCATAGAAGAAGAGAGAGATCAGGAACCCATAGACTCCTGAGCAGGCAAGAGTGAGGCTCTGTGGAAGCACCATGGGATCAACTTTCTCTATTGTACCAGAGTAGCTAGGAATCAATATACTTTTTCTTTGTGAGTCCAACATCATCAACCATCTGAAATTCTTACTTTGTCTCCTGACTGACACAGGAGTCCACACTCAACAGAGAAAGTTAATTTAGTTGTAAAGGCAAGACAAAAATCTAGGTTGTTGGACTTCTGAGCTAGTGTTCTTTTTGCTATATTAAATTGCTAAAAAATATTTAAAAATACAGTTGATACTTCAACAACATGGCTTTGAACTGCATGAGTTCACTTATGCACAGATTTTTTTCAATAAATACTGTAAATGTATTTTCTCTTCCTTATGGTATTCTCAGTAACATTTTCTCTTCTCTAGCTTAGTTTATTGTAAGAATATAGTAAATAATACAGTAAATAATACATACAACATACAAAAGATGTGTTTATTAACTGTTTATGTTATCGGTAAGATGTCCAGTCAACAGTTAGGCTAGTAAAGGTAAGTTTTTGGGAGTCAAAAGTCATACATGGATTTTTGACTGCGTGGATAATTGGCTTTTACAACCCCCGTGTTGTCCAAAGGTCAACTTTACTTTGTATCTGAAAAGTATATCAAAAGTCATTTAATCTTGGGTAAAACATGGTAAATCTGTAAACTTCTTAACAACTTTCAGTTAGTCACTGTACTTTTTGAGCACTAGCTACAGTATATAATTTGTTAAATTTCATAAGTAACCTATCGCATTTTGTTACTTTAACCAGAACTCCTCATCTTCATTACACGTGATTGTGGTTGGTGTGCTCGTCCCCAGTTTACATAGATTTTCGACTATGTAGGGGTCAATACCCCTAACCCTGCATTGTTTAGGGGCCAACTGTATCCTGGAACTCGCACGGTGAAATGAATGAGATCATTATTCTTTTCATACTCAGTATGAATTACTCCTCATCTTAGGCAAGCCAGCAATGTGTTTTTTGTTGTGTTTGTTGTTGTTTATCTTTTTTTAACAGAGGTGTTTAATCATAAGCAATGGAGAGAAGAGTTAACACCAGATTTACACAGTTACTAAAACAAAATAAAGCCTTGACTTTGTATAATATGTTTGCCTTTTCAAAAGAAGTCACATTTATTAAGTAATGTTGATTCTCTTTATCTCCTGATTAAGTACTCCAGGCAGGTATCAATATCATTGTCTTATAGATGAGGGAATTACATTGAAACACACACTTTGGAAAGGGTATGTGATGAATCCAAGGTCAAATATCTAGGTAACAAAAAGAGCCAGAGCAGGAATTGAATTTTCATTAATCTCAGTTGGTGCCCCTTCTACCTGCTGCTATTATTTTCCAGATGACTCGTGAGTAGATAAATAAATTCAGTGTTTTTCAGAAAAAGGTAAAATTCCTTTGGAGAGAGTAAGTCTGCCTTCCAGTGAGCCCTATCAGTGGCACTAAATGAAGCTGTTTACCTTTTGCCCTGGCCTTTTACGATCAGGCCTTAGGCTCGTTGAGCAGTCCTCAGTTTATAACAATAATCAGTTCTTTTATACTAAATATAACACTCGTTATAATAAAACTTTTTTCTTATATCACCAGGCCTAGTTTGTTTTTTTTTTTTTGGTTCAAAACTACCTGCTTAATTAAAGTAATTTTCATTGAGTGATCATTTGGCACATGGCATCAGTTTTTTTGTAAAGTTTTTTTTTTTTTTTATTAATCAAATAGGTTGCTTGGAACAGGTCTTGTTTTTCCTGAAGAAGAAATTTAAGATTCAGTCTTGATCCTATTGATTTGGGGTCAACAGAGGAATACTGACTTGTTTCTTGGGAGGTGATGCTCCCCTATCTATTTTCCTAAGAATGCTCTCTTACTGGGGAAGTGTGTCATGTTCAGCAAAGAGCTGGGCACTTGGGGTCCCTTTATTCTCCTAACTGCCAAATTGATGGTGCTGGGTAGGAGTTGGGGGTACAGGTGATGATGACATGTAACTGGGTGTATGTTATTTGAAATGTTTCTTTTTAACATTTTAAATGTTTCTGCTTATGATGGTTTCTATACTCATCCTGAAGAGCACATTAATTGATCTCAGCCATTAATAGCTATTCGACACTTTTTGCAATAAAGGTAAGTATTGAATATAAGCTAACTTCAAGAGCAAAAGTTGGCATCCAGAAAGGATTTCTGGTGAAAATTGCCATTGCATAGATAGGTGTTGGTATATTATTTTAAATGAGTGTCTATGAAATATACAGTTCAATTTGAAGACCTTGATTTGTAGATTCCAGTATAAACTATGCAGTTGGGTTATACTTCATAATTCATGATAAGAGACAAGATTTTTTCTTTAAGTTACACATTTTGGGGAAATGTTTTAGGAGAGAATCCTATCTCCTCCCTCCCCTCTGCTGGTTAGAAAATCTGCATATTATGTTCTTTCTAGATTATCATCAGGAAAAAAATTCACACACTTTTAATCTTTCACAGGCTTAAACTCAGAATAGAATTTAATTAAAAAAAAAAAATTTAATTTTAAGTTACAGACCAGGGTAGGACAAAAATAAAGGTATCAGTTAATACTACCTTCACAAAGATTCTTAGCATTCCACCTTAAAAATCAAACTGCGCAGAGGAGAAAGCCAGTCCCATCAAGCCCCTACTAGGAGGTCGAGTTTTTTTTTTTTTTTTTCTTCTTCCACTCTTAGGACTTGCCTGATCGTCTTGAGCAGTCCTACACTAGCTAATCCATGAGGTTCAATCAGGCTAAGTAATTGGAGGAATGTGTCAACTCTGAATTACAATGAGCAGCAGGGAAGGATCTGTCAGCTGACTAATCAGGGATAGTGGTTTTCTTGCAGTGCTGCCATGGTGGTAATGGAAGCAGCTACAGCTACGGTAGCATTGTTTGATAGAGATTTTTGGCTGCCGCTTTTCAGTATTACCCAAGAAGCGGCTCATATTTTATCAATGTTGCATTGACAATTGGAAAAGAAGAGTGTTATTGTATATAGGCAAGATGGCAGAAGCAACTCCCCCGAGAGGCAAGATGAGGTTCAGAAGGAATGCGGTAAGGGTTCTGCCTGCAGTCCTGGAAAGCCTATTCCGAAGTTCAAGTGCAGGGATGCTGCAGCGTGCTGCTGTAGCACAAACTGCTGAATGGGGATTTTAAGGACAGATGGATAGAATGGAGACTTGTATTTGCATGGATTGTACTGATGTGACTACTGCGATGTTGACATAGGGAAATGTAAAGGAGTCAAGGAGGTAGAATGTAATTTCAAAATCTAAATGTGCTCAAGTTTTTACGAGGAAGCGCCGTTAGTCTTATTATTTGTTTAAGACTGTATGACAATTTTGAATCGCTTGGCAGAGTAGCTTTAAATCACTCATTAAAATAATATCTAACAAAAGGGTTCATTTTTTTCTTTCACCATGGTTAAGTAGAGTATGATATCATGGATAGGTCTGGAGACGACTTCATCAGCATTTAAAAATGCAGCCCTTTCTGGGTGTACAAGTGAAAATATTTTAAAGTCTAATGATTTGAAATCTTTTTGATTTTTTAATTCTTCTCCTATTTTAAACTTAAAGATATAGAATTCTAGCCTGTTGATAACTTCTTTTTTTTTTAAGGAAAAAAAAATGACTCATTTTTTATTATAGGCTAGAATTTAGAAATCTCTCCTTTCAGATATGTTTCAAACATTTTTCTACCTAAATTTTCCCTTATATGCTAAATTCCCAGCAAATTTCTAAAGTGATTTTAGGTGTATTTTTGGGAAATGTAAAATTATGCTAATTTAACGACTAACTAGTCATCAACAGGGTTTTAAATGCCACTCTTTTTCTTTCAAAACTTAATGTTATTGATATTATGATTTAAAATAAAATGCTTGCTGATTAAAATATTGAGACAGCACACAAAAAATAAAGTAAAAGTCATCCATAGGAAAAGATGTCATTTGGAATCAAAAGTGAAATAAACAAGTAAGAATTTTATTGTTGTCGAATGACAGTGGCCATCAATGGGTGAGTAAATGAGTTATCTTCTAATAAAGCTCTTAGCACAGAATGCTATTTTGAAAATTACAATTTAGGATGTGAATCTTTTTATTTTGACAATTGTATCTCCAGTTCTATGTGTGATTTTGTATTATGGGAATAATAACTTCAGACTTGTATTTAATACACAATTTATAGTGCACAAGAAATTCTTTTCTATGTGCTTTGTAGTATTGGGTACAACTGACATTAGTACTTTTGTTATCAAAAGTAACTGACTCAAGCTTT